TTTTTCATGAAAACGGGTACGTTTTTTGTCAACAAAGGGCATGCATAGCCTTTAGGAGCCTTGCAGCGTGCTCCTGGGGGATGGGAAGGGTAGAAATGAGCAAAAAACAGGCAATTTTTTGCTCAATTTTACCCCCCCCCCCAGCCCCCAGGAGTACTCTGCAAGGTTCCTAAAGGCTATGCATGCCCTTTGTTGACAAAAAACGTACCCGTTTTCATGAAAAACAGACCATTTTTTGCTCATTTCTACCCTTCCCATCCCCCAGGAGCACGCTGCAAGGCTCCTAAAGGCTATGCACAGCCATTTTGGTGAAGGGGGTGGGGTTTCGGGAGGCAAAAAATGTTGTATTCAGTGTATAAGACACACCCACTCTGATTTTCAGCCTCTTTTTTCAGGGAAAAAGGTTTGTCTTATACTCTGAAAAATACAGTAGTTTGCGCTGTCTTTGCAGTCTACTTTGGGGTGGAGTCTGGTTTTGGTACATAAGTAACCTGATTTTTCATTTTGAATGCAGGAGCATTCAGAAATCCAAATGGAGGAACAGGAAGCTGCCGGAGCCGAATCACAGGAGGGTTTGGAAGGCAAAGACCAAGACCTTCATGTGGTTCAGATTGGGACCGCCGGGGAATTGCTGGAGGGGGCTGTGCCCCCTCAGCAGTTTAAGCAGGAGCCGGAGGACCAGTGCTGGGAGAACCAATTACAAGACTTCCTGAAGACCATGCAGCCTTCCCGTTCGGGGTGGAGGAACCCCCGGTCCCCTCATTATATGCTAGGGGAAGACCCCAAGTATTGTCCAACCTCCTTCAAGAGAGGGGAAGAAGACAACAACCAGTGGCCCAAAGTAGAGTGCGTATCTGAAAGCTCACTGGGTGATAGTAAGCCCTACGGGAGTAGCCAGGATTCTACCGTGAAGGTGAAGGAAGAGGTCCTGGATGAGGATGCCGTCCACGTGGAGGTGCGGAGGCAACGTTTCCGTCTTTTCTGCTATGAGGAAGCCGAAGGGCCGCGAGAGGTTTGTAACCAGCTCTGGGAGCTCTGCCATCAGTGGCTCAGGCCAGAGACCCACACGAAGGAGCAGATCCTGGAGTTGCTTATCCTGGAGCAGTTCCTGACTGTCCTGCCCCCCGAGATGCAAAGCTGGATACGGGAACAGGGGCCGGAGACCTGCACACGGGCCGTCGCCCTGGCCGAACGTTTCTTGCAAGACTCCGAAGAGCCGGAGCAGAAGGTGAGCAGGGTGATGCCGTTGGGAGTTGGCAGCTGTGATCCTTTAAAAAGTGTGCCCTGCTTAATTTCAGGTAGTCCTCGACTTACAGCCATTACAACCAAGAGCCGAGGTGGCACAGTGGTTAGAGGGCAGTACTGCAGGGTACTTGTGCTGACTGCTAGCTGCAGTTCAAATCTCACCAGGCTCAAGGTTGACTCAGCCTTCCATCCTTCCGAGGTGGGTAAAATGAGACCCAGATTGTTGAGGGCAATAGACTGACTCTGTAAACCGCTTAGAGAGGGCTGTAAAGCACTGTGAAGTGGTATATAAGTCTAAGAGCTATTGCTATTTGTTTACTGATTATTCAAAGCTACAATAGTGCTGAAAAAAATGACTTATGGCTGTTTTTCACCCTTACGACCATTGCAGCCTCCCCATGGCCATGTCCACATTCAGGTTCTTGGGGAAATGGTTCTTATTTATGACGGTTGCAGTGTCCCGAGGTCATGAGATTTTTATCTTCTGACAAACAAAGTTAATAGGGAAGCCAGATCCACTTAACAACCATGTTTCTAATTTAATGATTTCTAATTTAATGATTT